GTTTTAATTAAAACGCATCGAGTTGCATGGTACATGAATCAATTAATACAAGGAATTAATTTCATTATTCATACAAGCATCAAGTATATACAGATATTATTTACGTAAGTTACAAAGCTAAAAACAACCGGAAAGCACTAGCTTTAATCAAATATTATTTAGGAAAGATCGATTTTTTACCGATTATCGATTACCATTCAGCAGACTGTAGTCAATTGCATTGGGACCTTTCCCCGATCACCGAATCCATCTTCGACAAACCTCACCACCTTCTTGTAAGCAAAATGCAAGCAGTTCGACATGGCGATCCAGCAAAGAATCTCGTAAACAAAATCGAAGGCAGGATCGGATATCGAATTATCGGAAAATTCTTCCCAATTTGACCCTCCATAGCCGCCGAAGTTCCACCCCTTACCCCCACCCCCACCCCCACCCCCACCGCCGCTACCGAAGTATCCATCGCCGCCGCTGAAATTGCCTCCGTCGGTGAAAGCAAAGGATCCATTCCCTTCGCCGCCGCCGCCGGCGTCATCAGCTAGGATCTTCCGCTTGACGCGGCGGGTTTTGCGGATGCGTGGTTTGGTTAGGGTTCTGGTGGATGGCGGAGATGCGGCGAAGACGTTGAAAGGCGGCGGCGATTGTGGCTGCTGATCGGATGACGTGTCGGCGACGGAAAGCACGCTGTGGGGACGATTGAGGAGGAAATTCGAGAAGCCTAACGACTGTGTCGAGTACGCTATCGATGAAATTGCGTCGGAAATTACAGCGATCTCCATTGAATATTGCCGAATTCGAGATTCAGAATTAGGGATCGGAGAGGCGTGGGGGGGGAATTGGGGGAAGATTTTTTCCTGGGAAAAAGGACGAAAATGAACAAGGAATTTCTTTTTTGGTCTTATTTGCAATTTCCGCGGTAAAATGGGCTGAACATTTGGGCCTGTATTTTGGGCTTAAAAATAAATAAATTTATATTTCTTAATTATGAAATAAGATAAAATCAGTACGAATACCAAACCCTAGTTTAGCAATCGGGGTTCCTCCACCATTTCATTTTCAGAGGCGGAGCGATGGTGTCGTTGAAGTTGCAGAAGCGGCTCGCCGCCAGCGTTCTCGGCTGCGGTAAAGGCAAAGTATGGCTCGACCCCAACGAAGGCGGCGAGATCTCCATGGCCAACTCCCGTAAGCTAACTTTTTTCACACAACACTCAATTTTGTGTTAATTGACACGATTTTGTTTCTCTCTCTAGAAATGAATTACTGTTTGTCGCGAATAGCTCGAGAACAAGCTGCCTACAGCCATCTCTGATTTTGTTGTTTTAAACCATACCCTTAATAATTCTAAGTATTAATTTCATGTGTTTGTATTTGAATGTCTTCGTGTTTATCTGCTTCATTGATTGGAATTCTTATCTGTATTAACTTTGTTTGAGCAATCAAATTACCGAATTCATCGATTGCGATTGTGATTTAATCATATGAAATGAGATGCAATAATTTTAGGTTTAGTCTATTGTAGGAGTATATTTCAGTGATATAAATCTCGATGAATTTTGTCGATGCAGGTCAAAATATAAGGAAGCTGGTGAAAGATGGTTTCATCATCAGAAAACCGACGAAAATTCACTCTAGATCTCGCGCACGAAGGATGAAGGAAGCCAAACAAAAGGGTCGTCACTCTGGATACGGTATATATAGCTCATCAACAATCCTTTCCCATCGTTATTGACCATCGTTTTTTCCCGTTAGTTTTTGTAAAAACTTCAATTTATTGTAAATATGAATCAAAACCCGTTTCGCCTTTTTGATTGTTGATTGAAAATGAATTAAGAATTGATATAATATTTGAAGGTAAGAGGAAGGGTACGAGGGAGGCGAGACTGCCGACGAAAGTTCTGTGGATGAGGAGAATGCGTGTCTTGAGGCGTTTGCTACGCAAATACCGAGAGTCGAAGAAAATAGACAAGCATATGTACCATGATATGTACATGAAGGTGAAAGGAAACGTGTTCAAGAACAAGAGAGTGCTTATGGAGAGTATTCACAAGTCCAAGGCCGAAAAGGCGAGAGAGAAGACACTCTCCGATCAGTTTGAAGCCAAACGTGCTAAGAACAAGGCTAGCCGAGAAAGAAAATTTGCCAGAAGGGAGGAACGATTAGCTCAGGTTATAATCATTAAAAACTAAATTAAATATTCCGTTTCAGCATTTTCGTTTAGCTCGTTTGAAGTTTGATTAGTCGTTGATGATGGTAGTAATTAATACGGTATTAATTGTTTACGTAGGGACCTGGAGAGAAAGCACCGCCAGCTGCAGCTGCTGCTGTTCCGACGCCCCAATCTGCAGGGTAAAATAGTCTTTAATGTAACATAGGAAATAGAAGTCTCGTTGATTTGGTTATTCGTTTATTTATCTATTTATTTTGGATTTCCCAGGGGAGCCAAGAAGGCAAAGAAGTGAGATGAAGAAGCCAAAGGGATTCGATCAAATGATTATTTTTTGATGTATTGATTTTTGTGTTCGATAGACTTATGCTGCGATTTTTTACGAAATTTTAGTAGTTATTGATGACTAATGAACTAATGAACTGCTTGATTGATTTTTTTTTTTACAATTACGTTGAGGAATTGGTTAATTAGTTATTCTGCTATTAAGGTTGTTTATGTGCTTAATTTACAGCTTAGGTCTTTGATATTTGACCAAAAAGCATCTACTATTGTCATTCAAATACATATAGCACTACATTATTTTTCATTTGCAAAAAATATTTTTCCGACAGGTCAAATTATGAAAAAAAAAATTTGTTTGGATAATTACAACATCTTAACAACTATAAATTTTCTTACACATCCACCATTTAATTGTCAAATTTAATAAAATTTTCTAGATTATGTGAAATATTTTTCAGTTTGTACTCGTTTTACGTCAAGCGAGTTTTATACTTCGAAACAAAATGACCGCTTAGCTTGTAATTATCAGATTGTGGTGAATCAGAACTGCATTTATCAGATTGTGGTGAATCATAACTGTATTTATCAGATTGTGGTGAATCAGAACTGCATTTAGTTGAGGGACGATTGTAATTCCCCAAGATAATGAATTTTTCTTCGTAATTTGACCTA